TTATTTTAAGTTCAATTTTGATCTGATTAAGCGACCTGGCTTCTGAGGGTTTATCTACGTATTAGCTGGAAACGCCGGTATATAGGGTCTAATGGTACGGGATAACAAACACATAATCCCTTGGTAAGACTATTAAAACCAGATCTGGACAATAGTTAAGTTGTACAGTCAAATGAAAAGGCAAGGGAAATTACCAAGGATTGTGAGCTTTGAAATCCAAAAAATAGAATATCTAGTTCCATTCCAAATATTTTCACTAGAGACTGACAAAATAACATGTTCCAAACTTTAAAAAAACTACAACAAAAAACAAATATTTTTAAGACGAGTTTAAACACACGAGAAATTCGAAAATAATTTTTATTTCTTAGAATAAAGTCTGCAAAAATCTCCGTGCAGAAATGGTAGTAAGGTTATCGATGCAGTCAAAGGATTCAAATTAAATGTAGAAGAATTTAAAGTATGTTGTTTTCTATTTATCTATTTTTAAAAATATTTTATTCTTAATCTTTCTAAACGGTATTCATTTTAATAGATTAAAAATTATTTTCCACTTTAAGTGCATTTTAAACTTGTTCTTAAAAGAAAGTCTTTAAAAAAATTTGTAAATATTCTAAAAGCAAATATTTTCTATTTTTTTAGGTGGAAAATTTCCATCTGTAAGTTATCAAAAAGACAACAACAAAAAACAAACAAAAAAAACGAAAGCTGACAAAATGTCGATTAAAGTGATTTTACTTTTCTATATAACTTGGCATAATACTTACAATTGGGTGCTGGGTGGCCGAGTGGTCTAAACTGAGCAAATCTCAAGTTGGTGGTCTGGAGTTCAATTCCACCAAAAACACCACCAGCACCCCGGGTAGATGGGACTCGTTAACCTTGGACGGCAACTCATGTAAGAGAAGGAAACTCTGAAATCAAACCCGGAGATGGAGTCCCGAAAGGCGGATAACATTGATACAATGAAACATTCCGACAACTCCTGCGACGTCACTGGTGCCAAGCTGTATCATCCAATGATGTTCCCTTGGGTTACCCAGCGGCGTGGAGAGAGGCAATTTGCTGTTGGGAACCAGCTTATAATCCTTCAAGTATAATAATCCCAGGCTATGTGGATTTCGTCCTATGAAGCCCACTCCATCGTCACATTGTGACGGACGGATGCCAGCAAAAAAAAATACTTACAATATCACTTAAAGAAAGACCCGTTTTATAGCCCTGGTTGCTAGCCATTCGGGGAACCGACTCTATGCTTCTCCACACCAGACTTATTTTGTAGATTTTCTAAAGTTTCATATTTCCTAGCTGTGTTGTTCAACAGGGTTCCACGCAATGCCCCGTTGGTTTCTCTGCATTGCGATTTTCCATTTTCCACAAATATGGATTCCATACGTTTTACCAGAACATCCACAAAAGTTTTCTTGGTATTTGGACAATTTCAACTTTGTCGTGATTAGACGGTTAGCTGTTGTCCTCCTCCAGTGTGCACGTCTCTTGGGTGTGAGCTGAGCTTAGAGATGATATCACGATGATCTGACAGGCGCTCTGCATCAGACATAGATTAGAACAGACAACAAAAAAATCTCCCTGAAAGCACCTAACATAAACCCATACACGTTGGAGGTATTGGCAAGGCTGTAGCCAACTAACACCCTAACCGTTAAATTTAACAGCAAATAATTATTAATTTTTGTACGCCAAAACATTTTTAAATGCGTTTTTTTTAAATGGTCACCTTAAATAAGAGAATTTGTAGAACTACTACAATTTTGTGATCTAATATAAAATAAAATATTGGGGCAAGTGAATTGTCATTGTGGGGAATACTGGTCGGAAATGCTTATCTGTAGCTATTAATAGCACTTTATAATTTTATTTTTTATTTTATATTTTTAAATTAAAATGTGGATATTTCAGTCTTTGTATTATTATTATTAGTCTATAAATAAAAATATTTTTTTAAAAATTCTGTTAAATTTTACTTTGACCTTTTCCACGTATTATATATCAAAAAGTACCGAAAAATAAATTATAACTTCTATGAATACTCTCATTTTGTATATTTTGCTCGATTCCAGTTAATAAAATTGACTTAGACTTTGCTATTGTTATGTATTAAATAAAAACAATATTCCTGTACAAAACGTTGCTAGGAATTCATAAGATGTTTAAGATAACGACCCTTATGAATAGAACTATATTTACTTCCTTGTTGGTTAAATGAACGAAGTATGCAGCAGGTGTAACGATCGTTGTGTGTGTATGTTTGTGTATGTGTGTGCGTGTTTGTGTGTGTGTGTCCGTGTGTTTGTGTGTGTGCATGTCTACGGAGGGCGTGCCCACCATTTTTATTACATTGTGAATAAAAGGTGATTTAAATAAACTTCTTAAAGTTACCCGAACAACGTGACATCCGTGTAAAATAAATAATACACCCGAGTGTCCTTAAATAGAATGTCTTCAGTCCTGTAAATATGTCTTAATAAATATGGCAATTGTGGTCCAGAGAATGTTATATACAGGGAGAGTATTTTGTTTCATGGGACCATTTTAAAGCACCATTTGTTTTTTAAACTTAAATTTCCCTTTTGATATAAAACCATTTTCCCCTTTTTCAATACCATATATGGTAAAACACAGAGTAGATAGTTACCACGGATATCATTTTAAGTGGCTAAATCACTGATGGGAGACATTTGACATAGTTAATATCCCCCGTCCAACTAATGCAAAGTATTGTGAGTTATAAAGACCGGCCAACCAGAGTGGTTGATTGGGTCATGGGAAAACAAAAAAGTTTGAAAGTTGAGTAACAATGATGAAAGATGTCATTATACATCAAAATTTTCTACATTAGTTATTGAAATGAAAGTTGATGGTGTGAAATTGTCATAGGATTAATTTTAGTATTTTTGATTTAAAGTGCATCTTATTTATGTACATTCATAATATACATTTCTTCTTTTGGGTATTAAGAAAATATTTATTGTCTGAACCGTAACGTCTTGACTATTATTCATAACTTAATATAACAGTCACAACAGTTTAGGAAGGGGTTAAAAACATTCATTTCTAACCTTATTTGGACGAATAGAAAAGATAAATAATGAAGATCACGTGGTAAATGTAATTGCAATCGAAATTTATCACAAACGACAGGTTTGTTACATAAGTAACACAATGTCCTAGAGAGAGTTGTTGGTCGTAATAATTTATTATTTCATTTAATTTTTTTTTTTAAATTATGTATTTGTTTCCTTCTTTCGCAAAAGTTTAATTAGCCAAGTTACTAAATAACTAACGGCTAGTAGTGTGGCGGCATGTTCCTTCTCTTTGGCTGTGTCATATAAAATCTCCAACCGTAAGGAAGAATCGTAGGTTTGTGACTTATGTCAAAGTCAGTCAACATTAAGTAAACATACGTCAATGAATGGGTCTCTTTTTATGAGGATATCACTATTTTAAAGGCCTTTTGTGGTTAAACAAGGAACCATTTCAGTCCATAATAATTACGTATTTTACACGTATAACTCTCTTAAATTCCAAACACGATACATTTATATCCATTTTTTTTTTCTACTGTTCCTTGTTTTTTGTTTCTTCTATAACTATCATTATCTATTTTGTCCTCAAATGTTTAGAAATAGGATGTAAAGTTAAAAATGAATACACCAGAATCTCCAATGTATTTTCATTATAATAGCAAAAGCTGTACACAAAACCTAAGGTTACAATGAAAGCGTTTTTTTTCATCTACATCAAACTTGGTAAAAACACATTATATAATCCCTTTGGTGGATTTCAAAATATAATATCCATATTTTATGTGAAGGGACACAGTTAAAAGTTTGTTTTTAGAAGACTTTGTCTTTTGGTTACCTACCCTAACATACACATTTTTGTAAAATATACGTGGTTAAATTATTTTTAAATATTTTTTTTAGGTTGCATAGTCATTATTTTTGTTTGTTTCATGTGCAATCTTGCAGCTCAGTTTGAATCCAAATTCTGAGTTTAAATTAAGCTGCACTTTTGTACACTTGCCAACTCTCGGCTACAAATTAAACTTTCATGATCAGTAGCTCACCAGGGACTACCACTTACTCTTGAGGGATCTCTTTAGTTCATCTCAATTTTTACCAACTTACTGATGTTCATCTGAGCTGAAACTTTCTACACCTACCCAACCCGATGTTTAAATTCTTAATGATAAGTCAGACACAAGGGAACATTCATTGACCCTTGAGTGACATTAAACTTGCATCTCAATTTCGACCCACTTCCTGTTCTCCAGTTGAGCTCAAAATCTGTAACTTCCCCACACCGAAGACGATACATTACTTCATTATCAATATTGTAGCCAGTGACCTCTACTGAACGTTAAAGACCAATGCGGATATCTCAGGAACGTAAAGTAATAGAGACATGAAGTTTTTACTACAACGTTTCTATATGCAGGGTTAGTTACACGTTCCCAATACAAAGGAACGATGAGAAACACAATTTTGACAACAGAAAGTTAACATCTGACATTTAACGTGTTTATATTTCATTAGCATAACACGCATTTTTTACTCATATGTTTTTAAACTACTTTCTGATTTTCTATTACGTCCTCCAAGACTAAAAAGTACCAAATTAAATAAAAATAGAAATAAAGATCAACTTTAAAAAAAAAATGTACGAAAAATTATAAAATAAATGTCCGCTAAAACTTCAGAGTTGTCACAATCATGTGACTAGATAAAAAGCGTGGGTCACCCATGTACTTAGCGTTCTTTGTTTCAAGTTAATTGGAGACCAGGAAGTGGGTCAAAACTACGATGCAAGATTCGACCACGCACAAACTAATAAGGGGACAGAGCAACTTAGAAAAAATCATACGATATCATTGTAGGGAAAGGTTTTTTTTGTTTTTTTTTTGGGGGGTGGGGATATTTTTAAATAATAATTGATACTAAAAATACAGGATCACCAAAGAAGCAAAAATATATTTTTTTTTAATTAAAAAGAACATGTACAGAATGATCAGGTTGTCGCGAGATCTTCAGATTGAAATCAATGGGTGATGTATTCAAAATGTATATTTCAACTTAACTGAATAGAAATCTCTTTTGGATCAACATATCAGATTCATATTATAAAATACGTATACAATCTCAATTAAAACGTGCATTAAAATCATTGTTTGGTTTAATGCCCGCCATAAAATTGTTCCATGTTTGCAAAATTGCCATCTAAGGACATCAAAATAAAACAAAAGTGTAGACTAAATTTTTCTTTTCACCCATCTATGTTTTAACTGACAGCTATGAAGTTGAACTGAAACTAATTTAAAAATATAAAATTTAAAAATGAAAGACATACAAATTAATTATTTAAAAATAGTAAAAATACCTTACATACATTTACAAATCGCTTTTTATATAGTCATTCCCATGTGCTTCTACTCACAAAAATATATCTTTATTATAACTTATGAATTGAAAATTTAATTTTCTTTTCTTTTTTTTTTAAATTTCATTAAAAAATGTTTATGAATATAAAATTGTAGGTAAGAGCTTTGCTCAATAAACTTCACTTGAATTGTTTCGGATTAACGCATCAAATATGTACAAAAATTCATCTTTCATTTCAAATATATGTTACATAATATATATCTTTGCAACAGTTGCCGATGGATCTGATGGGTAAGATAGGTACGATGGGTAAGTTTGATACTTTAAAAACTAACACGCAGATAAGCAACACTATTTTGCCAAAACGTATTCAAAAGTACATTATATCAAACATATTTTAAATGAAACTAAACTTAAATATGAGTGCTGAGTATTTTGTTTACAATTGAAAATGAAATAACATAATAAAGGTAATAAATGCTCTTTGATTTTTTACTATTTTAAGCTTGTAGTTTTTTTTTTTTTAAATTAGTTTTTTAAAATAAAAACTTTGTCATATTTTCCACACAAGTATAGCTTTTTAATTAAATAATACCAGCTCAGTGTTCAATTACAATTCTACTATAAAGTTGTGGAGGTTCACTATCTCGAGTCAGACTATCGTATTCATTCAATTCTTGATAAGTTTTATCCATTATTATGGCATCATTCATACTTTTGAGTTGTAATGGTGCTTGTGTCTCTTCTATTCCATTCTCAGTGTTTTTATGTTTTACACCAGTCGTCTCTGTCTTTAGAGATGTACAAGCATTTTTTGTGCTAACCGTTTCTATTGCCGTATTGACATATCCAGAAGACAGCTCCTGTACGTCTTCATATGATGTTACATTATAAGGTATGTTGCTATCAATAACATCTAAATAAAAATCTTGTTCTTTATGTTGATTGTTGTTTTTTTCCCCTGAAACATCTTTACTTGTATCAGGGAAATGTCGAACAGCTGTGATATTATTATTAGGTTTCTGTTCTTGTGCTTTACCGTTGCTTTGATCTCTGTTACCATCTTTTAGATTCAAATCATTACTTTTATTGCATGAAGTTTGATTTTTAAGATTTGTCCATTTTTTCAAAATGATAACTCCGATGATGATCAGGGTAACTGCTAAGATTACTGCAGCACTGAGACCAATAATGAGACCAATAATGATAACAGTAGATTTGTTGTCCATTTCTTGATGTTCTGTTGACGGTGTTGATTTTATTAGAAGTGTATTTGAAGATGATGGAGAGTGTACTAATTCATAGACAAATAAGATTTGTCCATTGGTTTGATTACCACAATTAATGCTAAAGTTTCTCATTGCAGGTGAGTCTAAAAATTCTGAAGATTTATTCCAGAGAATTGCATTTCTATTTGAACAGCAAGACTCGTTTGACAACGTCAACTTACATTGGTTCATGGTTTGTCTTTCACATATTACACTTTCTATGTTTGCTTGGTCCCAGCATTTGAAAAACGTGCTATCATTATCTGTATTTAAAAATGCAATATCCGTTACAACAAAAGGTGTACCACGAACGCTATACTTCATTGAAAAAGAAGAAGACGATCCATTGTTAAAATTGTCTATTAATCTGTGAAAATAAAACATGAGATTTAATTTAGATGAGGCTTTAAGATATCTGTCAGAAACGTTAACTTAATGGAGAATTCAAACACCATTTGGGACATTCTTGAATAATAATAAAAGTCATTTAAAAATTTATTTTTCAAATGTCTGCTATCCTGCTCCGTGAGTACACATTATTATAAATTGAGATTCCCATTTAACTATATATGAAAATTTTAGTTTAAATTATATTATCAGCTCAACACTGATAAACTTATATTCTGAAAATAAATTTTGAAAAAACATACTAATTCTTTATAGAAAAAAGTAATAATATAAAATACTGACTTTTCGGCGATGTTTTGCCCAGCTTCAATCTGCTTATAATAATTCATACATGCACTGTCTCCACAGATGTTTATGATTATATTTCCGCAGATTACTGTCTTCAAGAACATAGTAATAATAACAAAACTTGCCAACGCCAACATTGAAGGTTGCTAAAGAAAAAAAATTAGAAACAATTTTTGTTGTGTAAGAATTGAAGAATATTGTGATTTTTTTTACTAAAAGAGAAGTAGTACATTACTAATATCTAAACTATTTTTCATTTATATAGCTTGTACTATAATAAGAGAGTGACATATCTTTCTTAACTTATTCTCAAACAAAATTGAAATTATCCTTAAATGTCTCTTGTTTAAAATTGCTTTAAGTGTAAGATGTTGTCTTGGTTGAAATATCTATTTATTTATTGAAATGCTAAAAAAGAATGAGTAGAATGTAATATTTAAAAATATCATTTATTTGGAACAAAGAAAATCTAATCTACTCTGATATTTTTTTCACGTTTTCCTTGAATTTGTAATTGTAATAACATTCATGTACATCTCTTACTCAAAGTTTACATTTTTAATAGTTGCACGTCTATCATTGACTACGACCACTATGATTACGTCTGATACGTGCATGTATAATTTAGGTTTAACGACCGTAGTTCTCAAATTGACTGGAAATGAGTGGACAGGCATGTGTTAATAGACATCATTCCTGGACCACCTATGGAGGTAGAGAATCGTATATAAGATGGAGCTTTCTGTGACATAGACAGTAGAATTGAAACGGTCCATCTGAAGTGTCAGACATATTGATAGTGGTCGTAGTCAATGATAGACCTTTGGTGAAATTTATGAAATAGCCATAGCTGGATTTGTTGCACTATTTTCATCAATAAAAACCTTCTTTATAACTGTTGCCGGGGAGTTGTTCGATCATTTATTAGTGCGCTGTGTATTCTTCGTTATTATGTTCAACGCTCGGACTAGTGAACCATCAGAGGGATGAGCACCCATGTATCAGTCAAAATAACAGCAATAGCACTTGGTACATGACCTTAAATACGGGCAAAAACCTCATAATATCATTTGACCAATGATTTAAACACATTCTAAAGAACTAATACCATTGTATAAACACATTGACAGTGTTACATTCATTTTTCAGAAGATTATATATAATTTTACATCTGAAATTTTAGAAATCATAACAACAAAAAATTTATATTTCATATAGTACGTTTTTTAAAACTGAATATTTACGAGAGAGAATCTGGCAAAACAAATCAATTTTCAAGCAATGATTATCTTAAAAAAGAAGTATAAATTCCAGATAAACTGACTTTTTTTAAATGGTCGCAAGTTCAACATCAAATTATTTTGAGATTGTGAATAAACTTGTTGACGACTCTAAGTTATCGGTACCATTGTAATTGCACATATTATTTTCTTCGTAATGTTTACGGACAGATTTAAAGTAAGCCAATAAACATTTCAAGCTAACTTACATCCTTGTTCATGATAACGAATGTAGACAGTGTTGCGGGACAAAAGAAGATTTTTAGGGGACTGGTCGCTTCTGTGACAGTCTATGAATTAGTAAGGAAAAATGTATTTCGAGACCTGAATAACGAAAAAAACAACCTTCAAAAGGACTTCTCATCTGACGAATTCAGCGTAAACAATAAAGAAACAGAGAATAAAATGAAGCCTTACTTTGATAGGGAAAAACAATGTTTTATCCATGTAAAAGTTTAGCATGTTAGGCTATGCATGTGCGGATAACTCTTGCCACGATCACAACTCGTAGGACAAAGAGCGAGATGGTTAATGTATACTTCAGCTATATTATATTGATGATAGTATGGCGATCAATTAGAATAATGGTTTCAATTCCCTTAATTACTTAACTACACATAATAATTTTGGGGCTTAGAGTCTTAATCTCTTACACAAAGCAACTTGTATAAAAATACATACTATATAAATGAACATTGAATTACTGTCTGTGGCTAGAAGTTATGCATTGTAAGGTGCATTCACAAGAATTGTATTACTTTTAAAACACAAAGAATAGTTTGACAACGTAAACAAACATAGTTTCATTATTTGTCTATCACGTGTTGAAATGTCTATGTTTGCATGCCTGCGTATGAAATACGTTTTGCCGTCGCCTGTCTCATGGTCAATCCCAAGATTGCGGTCTGAAGTTCAATCCCCAAGAAATAAGCAGTCAAGCAAAAACATCCCCAGCACCCCGGGTAGATGGGACACATTGACTCATCTAAGACAAGGAAACTCTGATTTAAAACCCAGAGATCGAGTCCCGTAGGCGGATACAATTGACACAATGAAATATTCCTGCGACGCTACTGTTGCCAAGCTGTATCATCCGCAAAAATAAAAATCCCAGTCCTTGTGATTTCGTCCTGCGAAGTCGACACCCTTGTCACATTGTGACTTAGGGAGCCCTATATATATATATATATATATATATATAAATATATATACACACATATATATATATATATAACAAGGCTGAGTGGGGATTTTTTTTTTCAAAAATAATATACAATTACTCAGAAAAAAATATAAGAGAATGGTGACATTTCAATACTTATTTTTGTTATATTGTTGCCAAGCTGTATCATCCACAAAAATAAAAATTGCAGTCCTTGTGATTTCGTCCTGCGAAGTCGACACCCTTGTCACATTGTGACTTAGGAAGCCCTATATATATATATATATATATATATATAAATATATATACACACATATATATATATATATAACAAGGCTGAGTGGGGATTTTTTTTTTCAAAAATAATATGCAATTACTCAGAAAAAAATCTAAGGGAATGGTGACATTTCAATACTTATTTTTGTTATAAATTTCAAAAAAATTATTTGGGAATCCTTGGCTTATTTCATTCAATCATTCATTCAGTGAAATTCAACTTTATCATTCTCCACAATAATGTCATTGACAACGAAATACCTTTTTAAATATCACATCGCAAGAAAATGAATAAAAAACATTTGGTAATATTTTAAAAATAATATTATTTATTTTAATTTTGTGTAATTAGGTAAAACGTAGGCTTTAGTTTAAACCATAAGTCATGTGCAAGCAATAATGTTTCTTATAGTAATTTATTGGTAGGCCTTTTTTATTATCATGTTAAGTAGAGCTCCAAATTCGCTCAACTTTTTGTTTAATCTGGGTGAAATCCAAGCCGACCATTGATCATTGGCGATGAGAGAAAAAATTGAATTGCGACCAATTAAAAAGCGTGTTTGAACGCTAATTAATATGTTGGCGGAACAACGAGTTTCTTCCAGGATTATGTCTGGACAATTAAGTGGGCGATATTATTAAACAATATATAGGCTAAGCTTTCAATCCATATCGAATACGTCCAGGTAGCATTATAACCATATTATAAAAAGAAAGGGTTGCCTAAGGGTCTATTTTGCATGAATTTTGAACCAAAAGTCAAATGCTACACATTTCATGTATCTTCATATAGAAATCTACCAATACATCTAAGTAAAAATCTACAGCTACAACTACATATACATATCCACCTACAAAGACGTATAAATACACATCTAGATATGCATCTACGTCTACATATATATCTACATATACATATAGATCAACATATAAATATAATCTACTTTTACATCTATATATACTTACATTATACATTCTGCTTGATCTCATTAAACTGATTCAGTCACAGTATATCAACAACTTCAGAATAAGTTAGACAGTAAAAGATGCGATATATTCATTGCGTAAATAAAATTATTTACTTCCTCGTTTGTAATAGGAACGTCTGATGATATTTGCGCTGTTAGGGGCGCAAAGAGGGAGCCCTAATGCATATTCCATTGAGAGCTGTACGGGGGACATAACACAACACTTAAGTTGACACGACCCATTGCATCCGCCTGTATTATGGGTATTCTTAAACGCAGTGCTTTCAAACGGTGGGGAATATGAGATTACTACATGGTATTTGTAGTTTGAAGATATAGCGAATATAGCGAATTTAGTGAATGTAGTGAATATAGTGAAGTTAATTTGTTTCTCTTAACGTCATTAAAGTGGAGTATATTTCTCTCATAAGACTACCAATTTAAATAATTGTTAATAAAGATTTACTGATGTGAAAAACTGGCTCGCGTATTGTATAGCAGGGCAAAGTTTAGTGCTTAAGTTTAAAAAAAAATAGCACAGTACATGATCGCAAAAAGTATTTGTATTATTTTATTACAAAAAAAAAAGAAAAAAAAACCTATAATATACATTTTTAAGTAACTTGAATTGATTTACTTTTACATGCATCCTTTAATAGGGACGCAACTTAAGATTATGAAACTACTAATCTGTTTTAAGATTCTTTCCCTTGCATCCCATATTTAAATATCATTTACCACGATCTTAAACAACTGCTGTAAGTCTCCAGTTAAATTAATATAATGTAGGGGAACAACGAAAAACATTTCATATGTGCAATATTATAGCGCTATGGATCATGTGACACAATTGGAGTTAAGCATGTCAAAAAGGCCACAAATTTGATGAACCGACAAGATCCTGATGACACATTGGCGAAGCTTTCAAAGAAAAACACCCAACCATTCCGAAGCTGCCGGTGTTTACCATGCCATTTTCCTAAAGGCATCTGCAATGTCGTATTCAGTTTCGAAAAAACAAAAACAAAAATTGTTAGCTATAAAGGCCAAGTGTGGGGTGGGGGTGGGGTGGGGGGTGGGTTGTCTTTTGAATGAGCTCTTTAATTAAATATAATATATATATATTTTTTTTAAAGTTGTTCATTTTTATCTCTTTATTTTTTTATGATTTTGCTCCAGTGGACATTTTTATTGTGATGATTTATATTTTTTCCTGTGTATTTTTAGCAAGCGTGCTACATTTGCTACCATTAAGAAGCCAAAATATTCCATAGAATTTTAACTTGTTTTATAAAACTTTATTATGTTTTAACAATATCAAATATAACCAATTCAAATAATAATTTTATTTCTGCAATTTTTATAATCAAAACTGAGCTTTCTTTCTCACTTCATTTATTACAGGTATTCCCTGCAATAGGGTGCACCATTGTGATGTAGTTGTTAAATTAAAGTATCGGAAAATACATCATATATGTTGTAAAAAATATTTAGTATTTCTAACATCACATGAAACATTAATTCCCCGTTGTAAATAAATCATTTTCTCGATCCGAGGTATCAATTTATCACATAAAAGAATTTGTACTCCAAGAAACGAACCAATACAAAGTCATTTTCTGTACCAAAGTTGATGGGTCAGTACCAAATATAGGAGTATTGAATAGCTGGCACTAATACACTTTAAAATATTTTTAGCTCATAATCCCATATACAGATGTGCTGAGCGATGTGTAACGTGTCCTCATTACAGGACTGAGATAAGTGTATGAGGAATTATCGTTTGCTGCTCATGTTTCAATGAATTAGTAAAAGACGCACTGAACATCAAACCTTTAAATTGATAGTTGAATGTGATAATGTAAATAGTAAGTGTAAATTAAATTAATCAAATGGCTCCAGGAAACAATCGATCATAGGTTATCGATTTTTAAAAGGAATTCTTGCAAGGTTGCTGAGTCTAAAAATAAAGTATTATTTTAATGCTATTTTTAATTCGTAATACAATTGTAATTGAAATATCGGAGTAGGCATACACAGAAAATTATTTATATAACTCGTGTGTACTCAAACCTTCCATGCTATTATATTATTGATATTTAGGACGTTTTTACTTCACACTTTCCCCGTGCCGTGAACTCTGTTTGACCTCAAGTTAGACTGCTTTGGAATTGGGCATGGCATATTTTCTTTGATCTTGACCTTGTGTATTTCCCTTATCGACGAAAAATAATTACTATGTTTTAGTAGAATATTGGGGAAAGTTCGCGAGGGGACTAGAAAAGTAAAATATGTCTAAGTTCTTTTTGGAATTGGCACATTTTACTAACTGTGTACCGGTACAAGATCTACCATACTCTGTAAGTTGATGATTTGTAATTATATTTCTTTTGTTTTGTAATTATATTGATAATTAAATAAATCTTATTAATTGTAATTAGCAACTTTTTTGAGTGTCATATTTTTGCTTTTGTATTTCTCATATGGTATCGTCCTTTGTTATGCACTGTTTCGAAAGAGCCATAAAATTAAAATCAGAGAGTAAGTTCTCACGATAGAAGGCATTGCGTAACAGTATACATAACAACTTGTATCTTAGAATCATTTAAAGTGAAGGAAATTAGCAATGTTAAAATTAAAGGTCCATTTTGTTAAAAAGTTAATAGCATAACAAGCTCACAAAAAATAGACAAGCAAGCATGTTTTGAACATAAATGTTTCCATATATTTAGCCATATATTTATAATGCTCTAAAATACCTTAGAAAGCAATTTAAACGCCTTATATTTATTTCTTAGATTTCATTTTGCAAAATGCATGATGATTTTTTAAAAAAGAAATATTTAAATTAAATTATTTTTAATGTTCAACAATAACTTCAACTCAGACACAACCGTAAAATGAACATTGTTACAACTTTGCTTCACTTGAGTCAGCTGTTCTATTGTTTACAAGGATTTTAAACAACCGTAGTGATTAATCAGTATTTGTATTATAGGTGTGTGTAGAACCGTGTCAAAGGTTCTTACATTTTACACGTTACAGCTAATATGAAGGACGTAAAAAGCTTTCGAATTGTACAGCTTTTTATTAAACTTGAAATGTTTAATAGTTAAGTAATTTTGTACTTAATTCTTAATGTCCCAAAGAGCTGTCAGTAGATAAATCGTCTAGATCCTGATAACAAAAAAAAAATATTGATTTCAAGGAAGCATGTCCCCATGTGCCTCGATTTTAATCAACAAGTCTTTCCCCATAACAAGGCAGATAAATCTTTCGTGTAGTTCTCTTATAGCCCAGAAAGCCATGAAATCGGATGAAATGTTTGAAAGGACTTATTTAATTAAATGAGCTTGTAATTGGATTTATCTTTAAAAAATACCAACCAAAAAAGGGAAAAAAAAGGGAGGGGGGGGAATAAAGTTTAAACTGTTTCCCTTTTCTTGTGCGTGTGTTTTAATGTGTTCTTTACTGGCTCATAGTATTTCCATCGAGGACATTTACATGCACATACTTCAACTACTTCCTTTGTGTCTTGAGAGATTACGCTACATTTGATAGTTAAGAAGCCAAAATTTCTAACATTCATAAACATTTTTATAACTTTTTTTTAAAAATTAAGACTTAAAATTATATTATGAATTTTATTATAATTTATTATTTTCTAAAAAATAATGATTAAATACCGTTAAATAAAATCGTTCACACGGCAATTATTATTACGATTTGTTGTTGTTTTCAAGCAAACAGGTAATCCTTTTTTTTCGTATATTAAATAATCATAATAAAAATCACCTATCACAGACGGAAAAATTATTCAGTGTTTTTTTTTTATAAATCAATATATAGTTATACACAGGATTTTAAAATCAACAATAGAAGTAAAATCATTTTAGGAAGGCAAGTCTTAATTTATTAACAGAAACACTAAATAAAGAAAAAACAAGAAATAGATTTTATGTGAAAGTATGATTAGCTTGAAAAAAATTAACCTATTGAACAGGTTAGCATGATAACTTCAGATTAAAAAATAGATTATAGATCAGGTTTATAAAATCTGTATTCGAGCTTCACGGAATGGAAATCTCTTTAGGATCAACGTATCAGATTAATAATATACACCCTTAATACAATCTCAATTAAATTATGAATAAATTATAGACTTTTTTTTTGGTGTTGATGCCCACCAAAAATTGTGGCCTGTTATAAATCCAAGATGTCGATACAATGACAGGTGTAAAATAGAGTCTGGACCACTAATTATACCAGTCGTCATTCTCACAATCTATGTTTTCACTTATACGTGTGAATTTACACTGAAACTAATTTATACCCCTACAAAATAGTGAAAATGCCTGCGATGCATGTGCATGTATCGCCCTTCTTTATAACCTTTATACTTTTCTGCTATTTACAAACATATATACTTTACAAATTACTAAATAAAAAAAATAAAATTTTACAAACAAGAAAAAGTTATCCGAGAATATTGAATAATTAAGCTTTACTTATTGAAGAACATACAAATGTTTTGGTTACTTACTCAAATATTTACACAAACTCAACTTAAATTTTAAAAATATAATTTTGCGTAAAATATAATGGTAGAAATGGAGAGAGACTGCTAATGGAAATGAGCTCACTTACATAACATATAGATTCGCAACAAAAGTCGATGGGCTAGAGATATACTTTTAAAACTAACACAATCATAGGCAAATTCATATTAGCAAACATTATTCCAAATTTGATTATAATAAAAAGATATTTTAATTTTTTTATAAAACAATTATTAAATATGAGAGGCCAATAAAGCTTTTACCCGTTTCTAAGGAAATTACATTATAAAGATAAACATGACCTTTGTATTTTTATTGATATAGTAAAATAAGGTATGTAGAACCATTGATCCTTCTTGCGGCAGCAACAAAGGTGATCTATAAGGTTTTTTTTTTTTTTTTACTGTGCTGTGTTTCCTGTCGTACTTATTTTTTTCCTGTTCGCTGAAGAGGGCTCTAAGCCCAAACGTTCACATCTTATTGTCCTGTCTTTTGGTTCAAGCCTCAGCATATCTTGTTTTACTATTTCATTCACAAAGCATGGATGCATTCCTTCAATTATTATCTATTTTATTTTAAG